TTGAAAAATAATTAAAAAATTTAAATTTATATATAATATTATTTTATTTGGAGAATATGTTGTTATAATTAAGAAAGAGAAAAAAATTTTAAAAAAAATGGGTGTCAAACACCCTCTTAGTGTCAAAATGATCACCAAATTTAATTTTATTTCACTATGACCATCAAACTTTATACTTAATATCACTATAGCTACCCAATTTGGTTTTATTTCATCATTGTCACCCAATTTCATTTCATATGACCACTAATTTCATATAACAATTCACCATGGCCACACAATTTCTTTTCACAATTTTTACTAATTTTAAAAGGGGTAAAATAGTAACTTTATATTCTATATATAAAATAAAATTAAAAAATAATAATTTTTTTTTTAATTTTGAAAACATTTATTTTAAAATAAGTTTTTATTGTTTATTTAAAATAAGTTTTATTTTAATTTTTAAAAAAATTATTTATACGTATTAAGCAAAGTTACCGTTTTACCACTTTTAAAATTAGTGAAAATGGTGAAAAGAAGTTGGATGGTTTGGTGCAACGTTATATGAAATTGTGTGGTTATGGTGAAATAAAATGAAATTGGGAGGCCATTGTGAACTGAATATAAAGTTAAGTGGCCATAGAGAAACAAAATCAAATTGGGTGACCATAGTGACACTAGATATAAAGTTGGGTAGTTTTTAGTATGTTTAACCCTAGTATGGATGTTTTTGAAGCTGTGTAGAAAACTCAAATTCCCATTATGATTTTTTACTCATAATTCGTCCATTTCTGTCACACTGCCCCCGTTTGATTTAGCTGGTTTTTAGTAAATTTTGGTAAAAATTGATGAAATGTATTATTAAAAAGTTGATTAAATTTCAATCATGCTACATGTACATCATTCTTTACATCAATTTTTACACTTTACCACATAGCAACACACCATTAAGCAGTTTAAATTTTTAACAATTTTTTTTTTTACTCAATCAACAATAATGTTAACAAAAGAGTGCATGTGGCATTTTCTATAAAATTTATAGTCCCATAAGTTAAAAGATTAAAAATAAATTTGAAGATAGAAGCAAATAATGCAGTGCTGAAAGTTTGCACCAGAATATCACAAAATACGCGTTATTGTTAGAATTCAGGTGTGATCCGAATTCCTTGTTGAAGTAATTGAAAAATTCTAATTGAAGTGCACATCATGAAAAATTCAAATTTGGAAGTCCATTGGGAGTTCTATGTCATGTTGAAGTTCTATTTTGGAAGCCCATTGGGAGTTGAAATTTGTTTTGGACTCAATTTTATACTGTTTTACTTTATCAACAACTCCACAATGTGGGTTTGGAAATCCTCTATTTATTCCCTATAAATATTATGCTCTTCTATACAATTTTATAAGGTGAGAAAATAGATTATTAGAATTATAGATCCATTGTAATTTTTTCTATTCTCCATTATTCTCGAATCAATAAAATCTCTTAATTCATCTGTCACATTCTTGTCTTCTTTATTCTTTTTCTTGATCAGATACTTTATTATTATTTGTCATATAATTTTAATATCTCAATCCGGTGATTTGTTTCACAACAATTGGTATCAGAGCAATTCTAGTGGCAAGAGCGCAATGTTTGATTTGTTCGAAATTTTTTATTTTTGATGGCTTCCATGAAGTA